AGAGAACCAGCGCCAACGACAAAAGCAGGACCAGCAGCGTCAATATATCGCTTCTGGTGGGGTGCTCCAGGTCCAACAGGGTCAGCAGATAGCTGCAGAGGCAGAAAGAGTAGTTGCAGAGGTTGAGCAGGGTGATAGTAGTCAGCGACGTCAGCGCGCGCCGCCAACGTGCACAAAGTGCCACGTTCAAGGGCATACGCGGACTTCATGCAGAGCTATATAAGGAATAATATCTCTTATTTCTATCTAATATTATTGCGTTGTTGTAGAGCAATTGCGCAGAACGTTAGGTCAAGTTTGGTGGGGTGGCCGGATGACTGGTGTGGCCGGATGACTGGTGGAACACGTTATGGGAAAACGATGACTAAGCTACCACGTGACTGATTTTAATATGCAGCTAAAGCTGCAATTAAGAAAAAAAAAAGGCACTGAGTTCGTGGATAAGTAGTCATACTGCTGACTATTTTACCCTGCAGTGCCTACCACTGGTTGCTACATAGTTTGGTCATGGGTGAAATGATAATCTCAGCTCGTGTTTGCGCGTCATGTCCAAGTAACATGTCACGATTGTCATGTTATACCTCATGCTCCAGTGCGATCCGAGTGTCTCGCTTGCCAACACTTTTACCACTTCCTAAAGTTAAACTGATACTCCCGGCGTTGTGGTCTTTGGGACAGCTTAGCTCGTGCGACATGTATAGCGAGCTTCTGGTATAAGGCTACAGGGTACCGGTGCTTGACTGGAAGTTTCTACCGTCATTTCTGCATCAGACGGTAGCGTTGGATGCGGGTAGTAAGTAGCGTCTTACATATTTCACAGTATGCTTTGTCGACATTGCGCTGTTGAAAAAGAGAGAATAGGTATTAGATGAGCTGAGAGTTTGTGCGGAATCTATAGCGAGCTTCTAGTACAAGGCCAAACTGTACATGTACAGTACTTGACTGGAATGTCTACCGCGCTTTCGCATATTGCAATAAGCCCTGGGCTTCGCCCATTCTCATGTCCTACGGTGTCAGAAGCTCAGCTCTATGCTACTAGACTACTGGGACCAAAAAAGGTACAAGTGATTAGCGTTGTGCTGATACTAGGCATAGACATCGTATATATAGACGCGCAGGCCTAACACACGGTAGATTTTTTTTCAAAGTAGGGACGCGAAAGGCATGCATGTTGCACTAGCTATAGACACGGTAGTGTGATTTCATTACACCGTGTGCCATGTCTACATCGCTCCGTTGAAACGCAGAACGAGTGGCGGGCCACGTGCGAGTTTGCGCGGGTAGCCCCGATACCACGAGGTGATGAAATAGAGTATCTTATAGGGGGTGTCTTCTAGCTCGAATCGCACTGGGCATCTTCTAACTAAAATACACCGACCAGTACGGGTGAACAAGAGTGGTGGCAATGATTCTGTTACTTAACGCAGACGTCAAAACTCGGCCCTCTTGAAGTTAGGTCTTCTGATCTCAAGAGTGGCGGTCAATCGGCTTGTTTTTAATCGGAGTTTTTTTGGTTAGCTTGGAGTGTGTTGTTCAGCTCGATAGTGGATATGTCGAGTTTAACCCACGCGCTCTTGGAGACATGATTCATCCAGACAGGTTTTGATTCAAGCCCATCGAGTGTTTAGGGTGCTGATAAGGATATATGCCTAGTTGGTCAAACTTGATTCATCATGATAGCGACATGGGCTCTCTTAACAACTACTTGTTCAAGTAAGCTGGACTTGACTAAGCTAATGCCATATCTGCACATGATTGGATGTGTGGCAGCGCTACACTAAACATGGAGTCGCTGATATAGATCCCAAGCTAGTCTTGATGGTTTCATAATAGAAATCCGCCGGCATAACTGTACATAACATCATGACTAAAGGGCTTGGGGGATGTGGAATCCCGTTCACGAATGCCAAGACTCCGACCGCCAAGGTAACGCCGAGGCAATGGATGTTGCCCACTTTCATTCTGTTTATCCGTTCGTGGACCTGGTACATGGTAGTAGCTTTTTAGATTAATTCATGCATGATAGGTTCATGGATACTTGCTGGCTTCAATTTCTAAACCCCAAGACATTCCGCAAAATAAAGAAAACGGGATATCCCGACCAAGGCCCACTGGAACAAAGCCATCACGAGACTGCCTTTTTTTTCTTTTCTTTTTGCAACATTTGTTTCCTCATGACGAATCCATAAGCAATGACGCCATTGGTAGGAAGTCCCCGCTCGGGGTATATACCGATGCTTGAGGAAGTGCGCCGATGTTGGACCAAGTGTGCCGATGTCCGAAGAAGAGCCATACGGCGCCGAAAACAGCAACTTGTCTGCTTGTGCGAACAGCCGTTAAACGAGGATCTACAAGTCCGACTGTCTCCTCATCTTCAACGCCGGGCAAATCCAGAGAATCCCCTCCACTTCCCGCGCAATTGATCTCCCTCACATACTGGAAGACCGTGAGGAGTTGGCATTGCGAATATCTTTTATCCGGCACCTTGGAGGCTTACCTGCAAATTGTTGCGATAGTAGTGTTTGTATATTGGCCTTGCAGATCTATCCCGCGTGGCTGATAGAGAGATAGATGGAATATATGGGGCCAGACATGTTGTTCAAGCTATAACGGCACACGTGCAATGGTCGACACGTTGTGGGACTAGGATTGTGGCTTTTGCTTAGCTAGGCATAGTAAATCCCATTGGCCTTCGTACCTATCCCAGTAACGCCTTTCCTCCTCGGATAAGTGCCAGCCACGTGGGTGTCGGCCTCCAATAAAAGCACCTAGTTGCAGGTCCAGGGTCCACTTATTTAATGTCGATCGGTTTTCCACCACCACTATTCATACCGCTGTTCGTACCAAAAAAAAACTGGATCACCAATATCAACGGCGTCGTGCCCAGCAATGACTAGGTCAAATCAGCCCTTGTTTCCCTTTCCAAACCCCTGGCTCCTGGTCCGCGTTCGCAGATGCAAATCTCCAGATGTAGAGAGATTTCTAGTGTCACATTACTTAGTCACTCCCTCCGATGTGCCAACGCTCCCGTGGAGAACATACATACTAGTTTAATTATGCATCCATCACGCCCCACAAGGATCTTTCCGCCACTAGCACGCCACTCCAAAGGACTTGGCTTCGTGAATCGAAAGAACATCAAGTTCGAAGGCGATTTGGTAAATCAAATGCCGTAATCCTCTACGTTAGTCAACTGGCTGAACGCCGCACTGACAACCACGCTATTACTGCTTAGGTGCGAGGCTGTACGTACAGGAAGAAACACGACATGGGGCACGCTTGTCAACACTGATGAAACTGGTTTGGGAATGAGTTCCAATTTCTAGTTTCCGTAATGCATCTATCGTGTCCATATAAACTCTATTTTTGATAGCAGAAGCAGATTATGCAGCTGAACTATGAAGCAATGCGATGTGATACACTGAATATCCAATCCTTTCCTTTTGGCCCAAATTTACGACAGTTTATGTCTTCTTCTCACGGCAGCTGCTATCCTTTCCTGTCGCTCCGGCAAGCTTGCACCATACGCGGAAGCTGCAGTTGCTTATTCTGTAGTCATCCACCCCTTTGCATTCGCGTGCACCATCTGAATGCGCACTCGGATCGACCATGGTTGTTAGTGAACCCAGCCCATTGCAAACCTGCTCGGTAGCAGGGTTGTTAGGAACGCCATTGGCGTCGTAGCAGTGACAATATTGGTAGATTGCGCACGCCTGCGCAGCGATAGGCATAAGGACAAGAGTAAGAGCGGAGAATTTCATTTTGGATGAGATTTGCTGCATGGAAGTGATGTGTGGTGATGGGGTATAGGAGACTGTGTCTGATACGATACTTATACAGCTCTACTTGGTGGATCATCGCAAACAAACACCTGCGATGAATTGCTCAAGAGACACGTGATCCGCATGTTCGGTACTCACATAGCATCGGGTTTCAAGCACTCGGCGGGTAAATGGAGGTTGTCTTGCAGACCAAACTAGCAGGTTACTCGAGAATTGGAGTACACTTCACGCGCTAGTGAGGTTGAAAGATAGCATCGACTAATGGAGCATGCAATCTAGTACTTTTAGAACCAAGGTCGAAGGATTTAGCTGGGAATCTGTGTAATGGAATCGTGTGCATCTCGGGCCGATGCACTGGCTCAACGACCCGCGAAGGATTTACCTTAGGCTATTCATTGCAAGCAGTTCTATTGGACACGGGTATTTTGTCAAACATGGCCATGCACTGTTCCTCATGATTGGATATGCTAAGCGCAAAGGGTAGGGTAATTTTATGCAATGCGGGTAGCGCCACAGGCGTTGGTCTTGGAAAGTATGGATTCAATGTCCAACGAATCTCGGGCCTACTGTAGGTGGTCAGTGCTTGCAACTGTTCAGCGGATGCAACACCCCACCAAAATTAGTGCTCTACTAAAGACAAGGCTATAGAGCCCTATATAAAAGCTATTATTATAAGATTTTCTAGTAGAGTATTAAGTAAGTAGTAATATATATTTCTATCTAGACTAGCGAATGGGTAAGGGTAGGGTAGGGGTAGGGTTGGCTTATATAATACCTAGCCCTACCCCTACCCCTACCTACGCTAAGGTTCCTTAGCATAGGTAGGGGTAGGGTTGCTAAGACCTAGGTAGAGGTAGGGTTGGGTATATAACCGTTAGGTTATGCTAGGTTAAGGTTAGACTAGCGAATGGGTAGGGGTAGAGTAGGGGTAGAGTTAGCTTATATAATACCTAGCCCTACCTCTACCTCTACCTACGCTAAAGTTCCTTAGCATAGGTAGAGGTAGAGTTACTAAAACTTAAGTAAAGGTAGAGTTAAGTTAACTAAGACTTAAGTAGAGGTAAGGTTAGATTAGCTAAGACTTAAGTAGAGGTAGAGTTAGGTATATAACTATTATTATTATTATTATTGTTCCATTAGAGTCTAGTGAGCTCGAGGCTATGTAAGACTTTGGCCGAGGCCGTT